CCATCGCATAACTTTGTTGCTAGTGGCAACAAATCTATAAATCTATAAATATAAAGCACTTAGCCCAGGGCCAGGCATACAGTAAACACTCAATAAATGTAATAAATGATGAGTGAGCTTCTACCATGAGACAGGTCACTAACATGCAGTGACGATAGAGACGAGGAAATTGTTTTGTGTTGTTTATCTCATCTTTTCAAGTAAATGTGGAGTCAGTGACTCAATTGTCTTTGCTTTTTTCTCTTCTGCAAATGCCCGGACCAAGCAACCAGTAGTGCTCACGGAAGGCTGGATGAAGGGACTCATTAAACGGATGGACTGAATAGTTTACCTAATATAATCATTTAAAAGAAGAAGACGAGCCCTGGCCGATTTGGCTCAGTGGTTAGAGCATCGGCCTGCGGTCCCGAGAGACCTGGGTTCGGTTCCCGCTAAGGGCACGTACCTCGGTTGCAGTTTGTCCCCGGCCCTGGTTGGTCGTGCGGGTGGCAGCCACTCGATGTGCCCCTTTCACATCGATGTTTCTCTCTCTCTCTCTTCCTCTCTCTCCCTCCCACTCTATCTGAACAAAAAATGTCCTCGGGTGAGGATAAAAAAAAAAAAAAAAAGATGACGAAAACGACATTAAGAAACACGCAAAATGAACGTAAAGGTTAATGTGAGGATTGCAAACGCGAGGCAGGGCCGAGAAGCACTCTCTCCCACGGAGCAGAGTCTGGGCGAAGCCCTTTAATTACTGCCATCTGGAGTGAAGGTGCGCGCCACTTGGCTCGGAGCGCGCTCGGTCCCCGTCGCGCCTGCCGGGAGCTGCCTTGTAGTCCGTCCAGACGCCTTCGAGCGGTGCGGCGAGTGTGCACAGTGCCCGGCAGGCGCGACGCGCTCAGCACGGTCTCCGCGTGGTGCTCAGACCAGGTATGACACAGGGAGGGTCGGAAGCATGATCCCATCTGATAGCTGAGCTAACTGAGGTGACGCAGGACTAGCCAAGTGCCCAAGGTCAGTAGCTGAAAGTCACACAGCCAGGACTAGACTCGGTTGGGGTCTGACTTCTAGACTTGGAGGTTCCCTCATGCTCTGGGTGACGTGTGCCAGGGCTTCCTCAGCCTCTCTCTTGTTCGTTCCCAGGAAGGCTTCTCTCCTGCAAGGGAGCAAAAGCTCACCTGCCCCGCAGTGGAATGAAGCGAGGCCTGGGAAAGGGCACAGAGCACAGGCACAAAGCAAAGCCAACTTGAGGATTTGCTGTAGTCAGGCCTTTAAGAGTAAAAAATACATACAGGGGAAGCGTGGGGTCCTTCCTTTCCAAACATACTGCCTTTTGGCCGAGGTTGTTGCAAGACCCCAAATTGGAGCCTCTGTCCTTAGCTGCCAAGACCTGTCTCGCTGGACCCTCCCAGAGGAAGGCGTCTAACCAGGGCGCAGCAGGCGCACGCACATTTGATCAGAAGTAGTTCTATTTGGAATCTAGGAGGGTGACTAAGGTACTCTGAAGTCCATGGATGGTGACGTTGGCGGAAGCATCATGGGCAGGAGAGGCAGTCGTGTACCTGGGTGATGTGTCCCTTCCAGTGAGGACAGTGCCCTTCCCTCTCAACCGGAACTGCAAGGTCCAGTGGAATCAACCTGCCTCTAGCGGCCCCCGGGCAGGTGGCCACACCGGGGCCTGCTCTTTGCAGGTCGGGCTTGCTTCCCGAGTTGTGCCGTGCCGCCAGCCCGCCCGCGCGAACACCCCGCCACTGAACTCTTCCAATGGGATCTAGGACGTTTGATGTCCTCTGGCTGGAATCCGTACACAGTGCTGTGATATCAAAGTCCCCCCAATGGCACTGAGTGTACCCTGTTTTTCATGACATTTCCAAACTCCCTGTCCGAACAACTCTCTCTATTGGGTTATAAAACCATTGAAGCAAATCAATTTCCAAACAACCCTGGCAGTTTCCCTATCATTGGATTTAATTGCATCAGGGCTGTGAACTTGATATTGACTTTAACCTCACCCTTTATGGGAGGCATGAAAATCGCCCCCGAACTTGATCTTAAAACGTTAATATTTCACGGTCTGTGGCTCTCAGCAAAATAGAAGCCTCTTCATGTGCCTCTTCAAGGGTCCAAACAGCCATCCTGGAAATCTGAACTTTTGATTAATTGCTCGGTAATGAATTTTCCTGCCTTCTTTCTATGTGGTCCTTGACTAGTTTTGATGCTTATCTAGTGAGTCTTTTAAAGTTCTGTCAACATGCTTCTGTCACCACGATACTTAAGTTGCAGCGGGGACTAGAACTTCCTAAGAATAAAGACTTCCGCAACAGTACAAGACAGAACCAGAAAGCTCACACACAAACATAAAGCGAATGCGTCCTCGTGCGCCGGGCACTGTTCCGGGGTCTCACATCCTGCATATTCATCTCTTCATCACCGGTTCATGCTGTGGACAGTATTGAAAGTCCCTATGTAGCAGCTGTTCTTCCAGGCTTCAGGGATAGGCTGCCGAGTCCCCTCTCGTTTAGTGACAAAATGGGAAACAAGTGAACAAAATGCAAATATGATAAATTTACTGATAAGTAAACCAGGAATGAGTTGCCTGGAAAGGACACCTTTAGAAAAGGTGCTCAAACACGGAGGGCAGAATTGATCCCTAGGGAGTTGGGATGGGGCTGGGACAGAAAGTGCACGTATGTGTTGGTATGTTGGGGGCTAACAAAAGTTCTGAGTGTGCTTTGGGGCAGCCAGGTTCCAGCAGGAGCTTTACAAACGCAGGTGATTCCCTTGCTCCAGGCTTTTGCTCCTCCCTTCCCGAGTTTGCACTGACCTGCTATACTTCAACTCTTTCGTCTGTTCATAAACATCCACGGGATCCTGCTGTGCGCGGAGCCCTGTGCTATTTATGTCATGTAATCGTACAAAATCCATCCAGCAGTCCACTGACCAGGGAATAACCTTGCTCCGTCGGGTCGTTATGACTCTCTTTATTTTATTAAGTTCTTAGTCACTTTCTGAGCAAGCTCTTCTGTTGCATCACACGATTTATTTTGGGGGCCAGTATTACTCTGTTCTAATGATTTCAGCCCGGTGGTATAGTTTCACTTCCTTCTTGGCTCTGAAATTGCCGAGGTTCTCTCTCTGACAGTCCTTCAGGAGGGTCCTCCTTTGACACTTCTCCAGCTCACACACGCACACTTCCATCCCCCTCTCCTCCCCCACCCCTTCTTCTCTCCTTGGTCCCTTCTCCCTAATCCTCCCTCCTCTCCCCTTCTTTCTTTCACCCTCCTTGGCCAACTCCTCCAGGCAGAGCTGGCAGCCCATGGCAGGCCTTCTGATCGCACTCTGCTTGCACACGAGGCGTAGCTTCTGGGCTGGGCCTTGCTCGCAGCCCTCCCCTCCACCCGAGCCAGCAGAGAGGAGAGACTGGGAGGAAAAGGCCCCTGCACTACAGGCAATGGAGGGTTTTTCTAACCACCCAGATGGCCACGCGCGGGAGGGAGGGGGCAGTGGGTTCCATGTGCAGGACCTCACTGTCCTGTCCTCAGCCTGTGGTTTAGGAGATCCAGCCCCAGCCTACCTGTGGCCCCACCTGCCTCTGCTCCACACCCTACTCCCCTGTGCACCTGCCATCCGGCCGCCTCGACCCAGCTCGTCATTTAGGCCTCACCTCAAAATGTCACCCCCACCATGAGGCCTTAGGACAGGCCGACATGACGACGCTCCCACGTCTACACAACGCCCCATTCCGTTTCCCCACAGGATTTATCCATTCTGGCAATTTTACAGCTTGTTTTTTTGTTCCTGCTTCCACCTCTCACTAGCGTGCAAGCTGTATGCAGGCAGGGATCCCTGGGGACCTGGCCAGAGACCGCTGCCCCGCTGGGTGGAAGCTCACTCCCGTGGGTTTAGTAACTGAGTCTATGAATAAGAACAGAAATCAGGCAAGACAAGGAGGGCACAAGTTAGGAGCGAAGCAAGGAGCTAGGATACAGATTCCGTGTCCTTCCCAGCTCTCCAGCCCTCTGCTCACCCAGCCTGGCGAAGGTGCTGATATTCAAGGGCCCAGGGAGGTGCACGCTGTCCCCCAGAACTGTGAACCAGGAACCAAAGGGAACTGGGAGCCCCGTTGCTACCACGGAGGGGGGCTTCGCGATGCTCTCGGTCTTGGCCAACCCAGCAACTTGGGTTTTACTTCCCAAGCCCAGGAACCGGGTTGGGAGGGGACCAGACAACCTAAGGCTGCAGTGGCCGGGAGAAGGCAGAGAGGGAGACCCCTCTCCTAGCTCTCCCCTTCTCTCTGCCTCCCCCTCTGCCCCCACCTGGGGAAAGCCCAACGCCCACGGGAGCGCGGGGAGCTCAGCGCAACGGCGGGAGCGGAGGCCCAGGCGGTTCAGGGCCCGCGGGGCGCACAGGGGTGGGGGCTGCGGGGAGGGCGGGGCGCCGGCGGGGCGGGACAATGCGGCCCCACCCCGCGCGGGAGGGCGGGAGGCGGTGTTGCTCGCTGGCTGGCGGCTGCTGGTGCGGGGCTGAGGCTGAAGCAGGCGGGAGGGGTGCGGTGGGAGCGCGGAGGAGGGAGGAGGCGGCGGCAGCGGCCGCGCGTGTGGCGGGCGGGCGGCTGGCACCGGGCTTGTAAATAAACTGCGATGCTGTCTCGGGCTCGCCGGCCTGGGTGCCGCCGTCGCCGCCGCCGCCCGGGAGCGCCAGTGCCGGGCTCCCGCCGCCGCGCGCCCTAGCGCCTCCGCGCCAGCCTCGCGCGCCCTCGCCCGCTGCCCGCAGTCCTCCGTCTGCGCCCCCTGGGGTCCCGCGGCTGACCCGAGCGGGATGTGACCCACTTTACCCCCCGCCCGGCCTCCCCTGACCCCCGGGGGGCCCGCCTTTGCCTGCTTTTGGGGCGGTGGTGGGGAGGGGCGCGCGGATCATGGCATTGGAGTTCCTGGGCTTGCCGCCGCCGCCGCCGCCTCGTCCACGCACCCCGAGCGCCCCTTCTTCCCGGAGCAGCAGCGGAGAAGGCGAAGCGGCCGGCGGGGGCGAGGCAGATGGGGCTCAAGGCGCGCAGGGCGGCCGGGGCGGCTGGCGGCGGCGGAGACGGGGGCGGCGGAGGCGGCGGGGCCGCTAACCCGGCGGGAGGGGACGCGGCGGCGGCTGGCGACGAGGAGCGGAAAGTGGGGCTGGCGCCCGGCGAGGTGGAGCAAGTCACCTTGGCGCTTGGGGCCGGAGCCGACAAAGACGGGACCCTGCTGCTGGAGGGCGGCGGCCGCGACGAGGGGCTGCGGAGGACCCCGCAGGGCATCGGGCTCCTGGCCAAGACGCCCCTGAGCCGCCCGGTGAAGAGGAACAACGCCAAGTACCGGCGCATCCAAACTTTGATCTACGACGCCCTGGAGAGACCGCGGGGCTGGGCGCTGCTGTACCACGCGCTCGTGTGAGTACCTGGCGTTCGGGGCGCCCCTTGGCGGCGGCGCAGGTTGGGGTTCGGGTGGAGGCTGGAACTGAGGACTCGGGCTTTACATTGAATTGGAGCCCAGCCTGTTCTCAGTGCGTGTGTCTCTGCTGGGTAGATCTGTGTGCCAGTGAACCACACTCTGGACCCCAAGGCTTAAATGGTCCACGCGTGGTTCCTCAGACAATTTGGAGATTGGATTGGCACGTTTGTGTGCGCGCGGATGCGTATTTATTGCACCTTCTGGAGCAAAGCTTGAAAGAATTATGTGTTGTTGTTGTTTTTCAGTTAATGTGGAGGTTGAACAGGATAAAGCGTCCCCCACCCCCCCACCCCCTTGTGCCCTGTGTTTCCGCTTGGGGCAGGTTTGGGGCGGGTCCGGTCTCCTGGGATCGCTACTGAGTTTGGATGATACATCCTGGAGTTGGGAATGGGAGTTGCCCACAGTGGGGGGTGTGTGTGTGTGTGTGTGTGTGTGTGTGTGTGTGTGGCTTGTGCTGCCCTTCTTAGGGCTCCATCCTGGTATAGAAAAGAACCCGGTGTTGCTGTAATTGGCGACTTGGAGTGGTCAGAATGCATGTCTTTGGGTTCTGTTTAGGGGTGTTAATGTGAGAGAGGAAGAGAGAGCGTGTATCTCAGGCTCTAAACCTAGACCGAGACCAGGAGGTGAGGGCCCTGGGGGCTTCGTTTGGTGGAAACATCTTCATGACTTGGTCCTGAGATCCCCTCGCCTCAACTGCTTCCCTTTCCCTTGCTTTGGCTGGACAGGAACATGATGGGTGTGTGTGTGAAGGGGCCTGGGCTGGAGGTTTGCCCCCAGGCACCCTTCCCCTAGAAAAAGTCTCCTTGCTAGTCAGGTGGTAAATAGATGGCCAGGGGGAGATGGAGCTCCTCTCTGCACCCCAACACTCTGGATAGAAACGCTCCTGTATTTGGGGAGAGGGAGAGGATGGTAGTGGTGGCTTCTCACCCAGGAGGGGAAATCCGCTGTCCACTCACACCTCGGGGTGGCAGGGCACTTCACCCCTCGCCTGCCTTCTAGGGCTTAGTCATCCTGATGGCTGCGTCTTCAGAGGCTATACCTTACCGGAGTTTGGGTGGGGAATTGGCCATGACCTTGGCCCCTCTTAGGCGTTTCGTTTTGGATATTCCTCGCTGCCATCCTCCATGACTAACGGGGCCCTGGGGAGTTCAGGAAGCCTTGGAGTTACAGTACCTGCCAATCTTCCTTCGTTGGAAAGCTTTCCCAGATTTGGCCACCAGGTGGGGTCATCGGCACAAAACCTCTAAGTCAGCAACAGGTTTCCTCTGAGAGGTTCCTGAGCCTGAAGACAGTGCCTCCCTGGAAACTGAGAAACCAGCAGGAGGAGGGGCATCCAGCCAGGAACGCGGCTTTGGGGTGGTCCAGCCTTTGGGGTGGTCCAGCCTTTGGCGTTCTCACGCATTTGCGGGTGTTGTTGCTTTTCCACTTGCTTTCTCCAGGTGGTAAAAAGGGATTACATATGCATTCTTCTCTCTGTCTTTAGCACTGTACTTAGTTCAATTGAACTGAAGTTAATGCTGGAATATGTGATAATAAAAAGGTACAAACGTTATTTGCGGGCGCACAACCTACACAGAATCACTTGTTCTTTTGAACACAAATGGGGGTCAGTACGTACTGGCTGACTTCCAAACCTGGGGTCCCCCTGGAGCTTATGGGCTTAGTCTTTGTTCTGCCATCTTTTCCAGCCAGCACCCCCGCCCTGCCTTGCCCCGCTGGGGACGGGATAGCTAAGGCCTGTGATTGCTGGAGCCTCGGTGGTCCGTCTGTAGATCATTCCATCACCCAGAGGCTGATTGGAGAATGCCAGCATCTGTAGCCTCGGTTTCCCAGAAGTATCCAGGAAAAGTTAAGACTGGGAGAGAAGGAAGAGTTGAATACCTGTGTAGCCAGCCAGGTACTTTTAAGTTGTCACCATGGACTTGAGGTGGAATTATTATCTACAGTTTGTAGATGAGGGTTTGAAAACTTGCAGACAGAAAACCACGTGTCCAGGATGCCACAGCTCATGGTTCTGGAGCTCACAGCTGAATGCAGGGCTCAGCTCTGTTTCTGAGCCCAGAGCCCAGTTCTGACCCTCTGCCAACAATGGCAGGACCCTTGGAACTTCACTAGGTGTCACTGGGTGCCCCTGGCCCCAATGGTAACACAGGGCTCTCAGTAATGCCTCTTCCCCCCCTTCCAAGCTCCCAGTAGGCAAATGGCTAGAAATGGAATTGAGAATCAAAAACAGGGGCTGGGCAGAATTAGGGAAGGTGGGATGTGCTGGGCGGTGTTGGGAATGTGGACTGTGGTCCGTTAGGAGTTGTACTGGAGAGCCGTGTCTGCTTGGCTTGGAGCTCCTGACTTTGCAGCCTATATAGTACATCCAGCTTAGGAGGAAGTCCAGTCCAGCGAACAAAATTGAATCTTTCATTGATGATTCAGGATTTGCAAGGCACTGACATCCATGCTTCGAACCATCCATTATTCCGTTCTGGGCTATGGCTGATGGTGTAAGGAGGCCAGGAAACTGGGCTGACCGTGGGTTCACCGTCTAGTGCGTTTTTTTAAATGAACCTGACCCATGAGATGTGATTTTTCTTCCCTCTATTCTAAAAGTAGAATACAGCAAATGTGGAAATCAGAGATGGCTCCCCACCCCGACAATACTCCCTTTGCCTTAAATGCCCCCCCTACTTTTGAGAAGCTTTTCCCTGACCCTCCAGACTGAGCTAGAATTGCCCCCTCTCTGCAGCGTCCCCAGCCCTCTGATTTTGCACGATGCATCGGATTGATCTGCCTGCTCATCTTCCCTGCTGAACTGATAGCCGCTGAGGCGGAGGGGCTGTGTCCTCTTCAGCATTCTTGGTCCCAGCAGGCAGTGGGGCCCTGGTGGTTACTTAGGGAGCCTTTCTGAATGGACGAGCGCAAGAATCCGCTCCGGCTCACTAAGACTACCTTCTGTACGGCCTTACTATTATCACAACACCACCACCGACAATACTAAGCAGCCAAGGTCAACGTTGTAGGATTTTAACGATAAGAATGGCTCTCAGAAGTCTTACAGCGGACTCTGGGGAGGGAAGAAGGAGGGAGACCACGCTCCAAGCCTGCTGAAAAAATTCTGATGTCGTGGAAATTATGCTGGGCTTGGAGTTCAGATGTGGTCTCTGCCTGAAGTCTGTGACTTGACAGGGGCCACGTTGGGGATGACCTGTAGCTGGCGACGACAGTGCTGCCCTGACACAGGTGGTTTTTAGACTTAAAACAAACCGTGTATATGAACAGAATTGGCCCAACATCAGACATTCGGTAGTCATTAGTTGATTTCGAATAGGGGTTTCTTTAAGTCATACACACTGGCCACTGGCTGCCCGGCATTGTCTAGGGGCGCCCCTTCCCGGCCTGTTCGTGGTGAGATGCTGGCTTCGTTTGGCGTTGTTGCCAGACCGGCGTTCCACTAACACGCTGCCCTGCCCGCCTCTGCACGGCCAGCTGGGGTGCCCAGTCTCTCACCTCTTGGCAGACCAAGGCGAGGCGATCACAGGAACCCCCCACAGAGGGCCTTTTCGTTTTGCTACAGCCATGTTTGACCAGGGGTTTACCATCCAAAATCTATAAGGAACTCATACAACGCAATAGCAAGAAAACAAATCATCTGATTAAAACAAAGGACCCAAATAGACATTTTTCTAAGAAGATATACAAATGGTCAACAGGTCCGCAAAAAGGTGCCCAACATCACTGATCGGCAGGGGATGCAAATCGAAACCACAGAGCTGTCCCGTCACACCTGTTGGGATGGCTGTTGTCGGAAGACCAGAGGCGAGTGTGGCGAAGAGGGAGAGAAGGGAACCCTGCGCAGTGTCCACGCGACTGTAACCGGCGCGGCCGCTGTGGACAACAACCGGCCGAGTGGAGCATGCTTTTTATTTTTCTATGATTAAACATTAATTAATTACAGTCCTGGCCAGTTTGGCTCAGCCGTTCGAGTGTTGGCCCATGGATCAAAGAGTCGCAGGTTCCATTTTGGTCAAGGGCATGTACCTGGGTTGCAGGTTTGATCCTGCCCCTGGTCGAGGTCATGAGGGAGGCAACCAGTCGATGTGCCTCTCTCACATGGATGTTTCTCTCTCTCTTCCCCCCCTTCTGCTCTCTAAAAATTAATGGAAAAGTATCCTCGGGTGAGGATTAACAAAAAACATTGAATGCAGTTGATATACAATATTATATTAGTTTCAGGTGTACAACATTGTGGTTCGACATTTATATAACTTACAAAGTGGTCCTCCCTGTCAGAAGGGCTATCGTCGGTAAATCAGCAAGCAACTAGTGCTGGCGCGGACTGTGGAAAGGGAACCCTCGTGTGCTGTGGTGGGAACGTGAATTGATGCGGCCACTGTGGAAAGCAGTAGGGAGGTCTCCCAAAACATTAAAAATAGAACTAGACCAGCGATTCCATGTCTGGGTGTTTATCCGAGGAAATCCAAAACGCTGATTTCAGAAAGATATACGCACCTCTGTGTTCACGGCAGTGTTATTTACAACCGGCGAGATGTGGGAGCAGCCCAGGCGCCCACCGATAGACCGGTGCAGTCGGCCCGCGCCACTGCGCACTTTGACTTCCGCGGTTTGTTCAAATATATTCATTAAAAAGTTGATCGAGACTGAAAATGATACAGCGCGCACTCGTTTGTCTGGGTTACAATTACAATTAAAATTACTGTGCGTATGGACTGTAGGCCTATGTATCGGAGCACCCCAGGGATCCTTCGACGTCGGGTGCAACCGCTAGAGTCTGGAACGGATTAACGCGATAAACGAGGGACGACCGTAGATGAAGAAGATGTGGGACGTGTATACAATGAACACACTTTCTTAGATTCATGGATTCTGTGTAGCCTGTGTCTCAGGGTTCCTCTCTGCCTCGGGCTCTGTCCAGGTAATGACAGACACA